CGAGAAAAACAAGAAAACGAGATCACGAACCACGGCCCGAAAAAAAAAACAACACAAAAAACAAAAACCGCGAAAACGAAAAAGAAAACAACGAACCAGGGTCAGAGAAAACGAGACCACGACCCAGGGGCCGAGAACACGAGAAAATGAGACAACTAACCAAGGTCCAAACAACCCAAGGTCCAAGCAAACGGTCCGAAAACGAACGAGGGCCCGAGAAAGCACGACCACGACCCAGGGGCCGAGAAAACGAAAAAACGATAAAAGGAATCAGGGCCCGAGAAAACGAGACTAGGAACCAGGGGCCGGGAAAACAAGAAAACGAAAAAACAAACCGGAACAGAGAGAACGAGACCACGACCCAAAGGCCTAGAAAACAAAAAACGAGGAAACGAACCAGGCCCAGAGAAAACGAGATCACGACCCAGGAGCCGAGGAAATGAGAAAACGTGAAAGCGACCCACGACCCAGGTGCCGAGATCACCAGAAAACGCTGGGTTCGAGAAAACGAAACCACGACCGAGGGGCAGACAAAAACTAAGAAACGAGAAAACGAAGCAGGCTCAGAGAAAACGAGACCACCACCCGGGGGCCGAGACAACGAGAAAACGAGAATACTAACCAGCGTCCGAGAAAAGAAAACCACAATCCAGGGGCCGAGAAACCGAGAAAACGAAGCAGGGTCCGAGAAAACTGGACCACGACCCAAGCGCCGAGAAAATGAGAATGCCAGAGAAAATGAGAAAACGATAGAAGAAATCAGGGCCAGAGAAAACGAGACTACGAACCAGGGGCCGGGAAAGCGAGACCACGAACATGGGGTCGACGTTATTCTCCAATTCGTTCTCTAGCGCTGCGGTGCGCACCTGTCGTCAAGGATTTCGCCAATTTGCCAGAGCCCCGGAAAGGAGGGGGGGAGGTAGCTTCGGAAGCCCCCCCCCTTGGCACAGGAGGGGGGGGTTAGCTTGAAGCCGCCCCTCCCTGTGTCCAGACTAAAAATGGAACGAGGGGTGGGGGTAGCTTCCGAACCCCCCCCCTTTGAAAGGGAAGCCCGGGCTCGCCTTCTGCTCCGGAAAATGGAGGGAGGGGGGGAATGGCTTCGAAGCCTCCCCCCCTTTAGCCAGGGCCCCCCTAGCTTAGAAACCCTTCAGATGGGAGGGGGGGTAGCTTCGGAAGCTCCCCCCCCCTCTTTTCGAAGGAAGGGGGGGGTAGCTTGAAGCTGGGTCCCCCCCTTTACTATTGAATTCCGTACGGGCGCGCTCTTACGAAACCCTGATTTGGCTCAGGTCTGAAACTCTAGTTCATCTCTCTGGTTTAAGTGAAGCTCTGAATTAGCCCTGGTCTGAAACTTTGGTTTAAGTATGATTTAGCTCTGGTTGGGGACAGAGCCGAATCAGAGTTTAATCGGAGTTCAGACCAGAATTAAATCAGAGTTTCGAAACAATCAGAGATGGAAACAGAGTTCCGGGCCAGAGTTGAATCAGAGCTGGTTCAGAGTACTATTGGAGCCTTTCGATCTTAATTGTTGAGGCTAGTTTAAACACAGACTCAACCTTAGCCACTTCCCTGTGACCTCTGTGAAGAGACGGTCCTAGACAAGCCAAGGACATATATTAGGATGCGAGTGGGATATGCCCGTCGTCTGTAAGCCACAGTGCACTATTGACAGTGTGCACGATACCTCCCGAGCTCGCAAGCGCATCCTCTAGCCCCTTGGCATCGCGAGCCACCTCAAACTTTCATGGCGCGCCCCGCCCGATCCCATCTCTTCCAAAGAAAAGAACTGAGTTCGACACGCACGTCGCGCGATTACTGATTTCCGAAATCAGTATTATCTGATTTGTTCGTCTCCAAGTCGCAGTCGAAGATGTTTAAGGGACCTGAGTCAGGGCCGATCGGTCCCGGGGCAACCAACGCACGGATTTCTGAGCACCCGTTGATCATGCCATCCCTCTAGGCCACATCCGACGCATTAAGGTAGAATCGCTGACTCCGCATGCGTATCTTGAACCCCACGATGGGCGACAAGGAGCATGTCATCGGCTCGATTCCCCTATACTCGCAAAACGAGTACCGCCCATCTTTAGCCCCTCTCGCGCTTGAGTTTATGACCGTATTTCACCATCGGTGTCGGCGTCCATACGAGCATCATCGGCTTGTCCCACCTCTACAACTTGCAGTCCGCACCAACCCCAGTACGATGCTGCAGGCTTTCGGCTCCGGGTCGCGCATGCCGGGGGCCACATGCGAACCCCACCCCTACCCCCCACGATTTTTGAGGGGGAGGGTGGGGTTCACTTCGTTCGAGAGCTCCCGAGCGAAGTGAACCCCACCCTCCCCCTCAAAAATCGTGCGGGGTAGGGGTAGGGTTCGCATGTGGCCCCCTAGCCACGGCATTCTTGCACGATGGGCACGACGCACAGAACCACCAGACCGCCACCCGAGCCCAGACGACGAGGCGGCGACGGGGCGGCGACGGGGCGGCAACGACGAGCGCGGGGCCGCCAAACCGACCGTGGGGCCCAGACGACGGGCGGCGACGAGGCGGCGACGGGCGGCGACGAGGCGGCGACGGGGCGGCGACAGTGAGGCCCAGGCGACGGGGCGGCGGCACTTCCACTGGGCATCCCTTATTCGCAAGCCACCGAAATTAGCGCGCACTTTGGCGACTGTGATGTTTGGACGCCCGAAATGGGTACGGAAAGAATGGGCACAATGCCCAACAGCAAATGTTGTCCCGAACCAACAGCGGCCGCTGTTGGGCAGGCGGCCTCCTGTCTCAAATGGACACAAGCCGCGGCGGCGTGGACAACGAATCCTGTTCAAAATGAACAAGAACTGCTGTTGGGCATCGTACCCATTCTTTCCGTGCCCATGTCGGGCGTCCAGATGACCAGCCGTTGTCTCTTCGCCCCGGCAGGGTCTTCATACTCGGACCCTTCTTCTCTCACCTTTCTCGAATGACAAGAGTTTGGCCCTGGATTGGCATCCCGCGCACCTGCACTAGGGACATATTCACCACGCTTGGGGTCAAGGTTAAGCAAAACACTCTCGGCTGCACCGGGAGTAGTCTCTTGCCCACTCTGGGCTACTTCCAACGACTAAAGTGCGTCAGGTGGCACAGGAACCTTCTGCACACATTCCTGTTGGACGTTGCTCGAATAGGCATGACCGGTACCAAAAGCACCGCGACCCGCCGCCTCATCCCAAGGACCACCGGATTCAACCTCGACGATGTCGGAAGCTGCATCCTCCATATCGGCAAAGAGGCTAGCAAGGATGCCTGGTCCATATGCCGCGACATACGCTCCTGGTGGGGCAACCATCCCGTTTTCATTAAGAAAGCGGACCCTCGTCGGGTGCGATTATTGTTGGTTTTTCTGTATAGATCGAGAGATAATGGAGATTGCCGATCCTCATTCACAGGGACGATGAGAGCCTTCTCAGACATCAGAAGTGCTCTCGGATTCGTGGGTCGTTCCTCCTTGCCTGGAACAAAAGCATCTCATATGCTTCTTCATGGCTGACATCGTCACCAGCGACACTTTTGGCCAAATCACTGGAACATTCCTCTGGCGTCTCATCGTCACCATAGTTACTTCGGCCCTCCGTCCTACAGCTCCCGTGGTGTGTCGCCTGGACGCGCTGCGTCGGGATCTCTCTATCCCTCAGTGTTCGGGCCGATACCCCAGTCTTTCGACCAAGCAGTGAGCACTCCCTGACGATCGGGCATGTTCCTTTCTTTCCTGTCCTGCTTCAAAAGATCCGTGCAAACGGATATGGTAAATGTCTGGTCCCGCGACGTCGTCGCACGACACGGTAATGGCTACTCAGAGAGCAAAGTGAGATAGATGGATCCAGACACGCGCGCGCGCTGGAAGGTGCGCGCGCGCGTTGTTCGGTTCACACGCCTGCATCGTCCTATCTTCACAATCAGCTTGGGCCAAATGCGCGCCAAGGCGGGCGGAAAGATGCTTAAAGAGAACAGGGGAGGGATGGTAACGACACAACCATCATCATCATCAGCATCATCAGCATCATCATCATCATCATCATCATCATCATCATCATCATCCCTCCCCACTCCTCTTCACCTTCAACTTCTGCTCCTCCTCCTAATCCTCTTGTCATCATCATCATTATCATGAACCCCCTCCTCCTCAACATCCTTTTTGTCTCCTCCTCATCCTCTTTCTTCTCTCTCCTCCTTCTCCACGTCTCTCGCTCTTTTCTCCCCTGACACCTCCTCCACTTCCGTCTCTACTCCTCCCTGTCGCTGCTCGGGCGTTGGAATTTCAAGTGCTGACGCTTCCTTGCAGCATTCGATTCGCATGATGAGAGGGAAGCCGGCGGAAATTCCAGAATTCCGACGGCATCCGAGAAACTTCACGCTCTGGGGGGTGGAGGACTGGGGGCGACTAGGGAGAAGGAAGAGGACTCAGAGAGGGAGGAGGACGAGGAGCAATGCCTTACTAAGACCCAACATGCATCGCCACCCACGCCGACCACACCAATAAAACCAACCGGCTGAAATCTGGGGCCCCGGGAGGACCGTACCGGTTCAGTCTCGCGGGCTTCAGAAGGCTGCGCATGCCAGATGTGCAAAGGTGCAGGATGCGTCAACGGTGCTGCAGTACACCCTACCGCTCCAAATCCAAATCCCTACCGCATGCTGAGGTAAGGGGGAAGAGATGGAAAAACAGTTCGGTGGTTTGCTGGAATCTTTTCCGAGACCAGGTCGAAAGAGTGTGCGAGTGGAGGGGGCATCTGAGGACACTGCCTGTAATGGTACGTAAGGAGACATAAAGTTACAAGCCCAAGAGACCTGACGCCCACAGAAGTGCGGCCGAGGTGGCCGAGACAACCCGCAAGGAACGCTGGCCCCACTGCTCGCCAGCGACAGCGCTCGTGCGCCCCACCGTCCCTCTCTTCCTGGGGGAGAGGGGCGCTGTGCTTGCCGAGCAGCGAAGGACCTCCCCGCAGCCCGCGACAGGGCGCTCCTCGATGCCCGCCACCCGCAACGTCAGGGACATGACCAGGACCAGCCCCAAAGACAAGAAGACCGACGGCCTCGCGAGGGGGGCGCTGCCGTGGATACGGCAGGTTCCCGCAAGGACGGCGTACCGCAGCGTTACGTAGCGACGATGCAGACGTTGGTTTCGAACGCATCATGAACCTTTCGCTTCTGAACGATTGGCGATTTCCGATGTCGGAGATGTTTCCATGTTGGCCTGGTTCACGCAGCTGGTGATACTCAACTTTGAACGCCAGCTCTGCGTCGCCATCACGTCAGCTCGTCAAAGCCTCTGGCCGTAGCAAATGAACGTCAAATCTATTTGAACATGTACTGATCCACGAACTCGGCTGTGGTAAGAGTCACCTGCAGGCCGAATATCCTTTTCTTGACTTGAACGGGAAGCGAGTGAGATCGAACAGCTGCGCAAAAACATTCAACAACAGCGTAGGCACGCTCCCCGAAAGACCATAACACTTTGTTACTTTAGGACGGTGCGCTGAAGTTGCGCGAGTAATGAACAACTATGAACGACTCTTGGTACTGGTCCTGATCCTGCCACTACTGATCGTCCTCCTCAGCCTCCTTAACCTCGTCGTCTTCCGAATCCTCCAAAGGAAGGGGGAGCTCACTACCCGCACCAGTTCAGACGTGGCGCCGAACCTGCGCAGGTAGCAATTTGATCATAATGGTGGTCCTGATATTGCTGCTATTTCTCGTCCCCCTCCTCGTGTCAAAGATTTACCCCCCAGGAATATCGGAAATAAGAGCAAGCACGAGTAGTTGCTCAACTGCCTCTGTCGGACCTCTGGCCGAAGGCAAAAGTATTGAGAAACGCTGTGCGTTTACCGGAAATGGGCGTCCCAAGATCACGTGAACCCTCACACCAGGGAAAAACACTCTAGGACCCAATGATTACGATGTTCCCCGACCCCCCCCCCACTGGAAATGGAGGGCAACTCGGGGCCTTCGGGTTGGGTTTGGGTGGTCAGCTTGGTGGGCGGGGAAGGCGGGACCGGGAGGCAGATAGAGGCGGGGTCAGAAGCAAGTCGCTCTGACTGGTCCCTTGTTTTTGCACGCGCGAAATGGGTACTGAAAGAATGGGTACAATGCCCAACAGCGGATCTTGTTCATTTTGAACAGGACTCGCTGTCCACGCCGCCGCGGCCTGTGTCCATTTGAGACAGGAGGCCGCCCGCCCAACAGCGGCCGCTGTTGGTTTGGAACAGCATTTGTTGTTGGGCATTGTACCCATTCTTTCCGTACCCATTTCGGGCGTCCAAATTGTTCTCTGTCTCCGGGTGATGACGTCACCGTGGCCGCCCGAGAAGGCCGCAGGAGGCGCGCGGGCTGCGCGGGCTCGGAGGGAGGCAGCAGGCACCACGGCACACGTCACCGGTGGCCAGTGTTCGGACTGGAGCCGCTCCGAAGAAGGGAGGGGCCAATGGCACATGGCCGCTGGAAGCAGGAATTGCGACCCCTCCTTCTCAGGCGGGGCAGGGGCAGACAGTAAAACAGGGCTAGGATCGGGATAAATCGATCCACAGCGTTCCGGAGCGCTCTCAGAGCGTTCCGGAACGCTCTGGAGCGGCCGCGGCGCCCAATACATCCTCCAAACCCGCCGATTCTCAGAGATTTCGAGTTATCCCGATCCGATTTTGTCCCGATCTTCGCGTCGTTTTAAGGGATTGCGACCCCTCCTCCTCTGGCGGGGCAGGGGCAGACAGGTGGGGTGAGAGGACGGTCGCTCGGCACGGCCCCTGGAGGGCGGAACTGCGAGCGTCCCCCGCCCGGGCCGCGCCCACCAGGGGGCGCCCCCTCCCAGAGGGCCCAGACAAAGAGGCCATAACACGCCCGGTGGCGCATCCTCGAGGCTCTCCAGGAAGTCGAAAGAAGTCCAAGAGAAGGCCACCCCCGAAAAGAGAAGCACGTCCGAGCACCCCGCCTCGATGCCTTCTGGGAGGTCGAAACAATGCCACCCACCGTAAGGACGTCCGAACACACCTCCGCGATGCCTCTTTGTGCCCCGCCCCTCTTCGGTGGGAAAGCGCCAACTGAATGCCGGCACCGACGCTGGCCTGGCCCATCCTGGTCCCGGGATCTGCAAAGACGCCCTCCTGGATGGGCCAAGTGAGCGTAGGCGTCAGCTTTACGTCGCGATGACGTGGCCATCGGTTCCCGCCACCCCGTGGATCGTACAACCTTGACCGACTGCGGGGCCCCAGCAGCGCACATGATGTGGCATCGGGGCCGATTGAGGGCCACTGGTGGCGCTCAAACCTCGAAGCGCCCGAGCTGGGATCGCCACCGCGTCGGCGCTGCGCGCACCGACCGTTTCCGCTTGCCTGACTTGGCCAGAAGGCGTGTACGTCTATCAATGTGTGGCCAAGGGCTGGCATGACCAGACCCACTTTTGCGTACGGTTGCCACGGAAGGCGTGTGCGCCCATCCTGCAACCCTCGTCAAAATGAGCCTCAAACATGTCTTACGCGGCTGAACGGTTTGTGGGGAGGTATTGGACAGAGTAGCGATGACTGCGAGGTACTTGTATGCGCACTTCCGAACTTCCGATCGTTTCTGGTCGAACTCCCGAGTCATTCCCAGTCAGACCACCTTTGCCCTGGCCCCGACATTGGATGGGCATCGTATCGGCATTGAAGGCCGCATCGACATCGAAGGGGCATGTTCGCAATTTTTGATGTTAATTTTGACGAGGGTAGTAGGCCCTGGGCTTACCCGACCTGGGTCGTTTCTGGTGCATGGGGCGCCGCGCTGCGGCAGCCTGGGCGCCAGCAGGGACCAGCGCACGTTGTCGAGGTCCTAGCCGCGCGCGCGCGCACGGGCCAGGGCGGGTGGGCGCGAGGGGGGGGGACGGGAGGACGCACTGGGGGCAGCGCGAGGACGAGGCGGCGGGGGGGGGGGTGAGAGAAGGGTATGATGTATGATGTAACAAAAAAGGGGGAGGAGGAAGGGTATGAGAACGAAGAGAATGGAAGACGTTCCTCCTCGCTTCCACATCCACCTCCTCCTCCCCCTCCTCCTCCTCCTGCTCCTGCTGCTGCTCCTCTGCCTCGCTTCTTGCTTTCTCATCTCATCCCTACCTACCCTGCCCGTCCCCCTCCCCTCCCAAATCCCTCCTCCCCCCCCTCCTCGAACGTAGCCGGTCCAACCTGACCTACGTCTCACGCCTGCACTCGTGTAAGCTCGGGCAGGCGCCCAGTGGCTTAAGAAGGGAGATCAAAGCACCGAAGGGGAGATCACGAGGAGAAGCAGCAGCAGCAGCAGCAGCAACAAACAGTGCACGGCCTTGCGGGGCACCGCCCCCAGCGCCCAGCGCCCCGAAGCTCTGCGAGCGAGCTCAGCTCGCCCCCGCACGGCCGCACAGCCCGGCGCTCGACCTGGACTCGGGCCGCGGGGCGGCGCTTTCCCGCGGCCACCTGGTGGCGAACCACCGCCCGGACCAGCGCGGCGCTGACCTCGGCGCGCGGGCCAGGCTTCGCCTCGGCAGCCGCCTCAGCGACCTGCAAGGCAGCCGCCAAGGCCTGCGCGGCAGCAGCGGAGAGCGCGGAAACCTCCGCGCGCGCAAGGGCCGCGGCTGCCTCGTCGGCTGCCGGCCTCGCCTCCGTCGCGTGCTGCAGGCCGCAGCGGCTGGTGCCGTGCCTCTCCCCGTCAGCGTCGCTGCTGCAGAGTTTCGCGCCAACCGGCTCGTCGCCCGAGCCAGCGGGCCCTTCGTGACGCATTGCGGCCCGCCTGGCGGCCCAAGGCGGCGTCGCCACCTCGTGGCCGCCGCCGCCTTCTCCCCCGCTCGCCTCCCAACGGTGGCGATGAGACACAGTCTGCGACCAAGCTACGGCTTCGACCTGCGCAGATTGTCTCAGGAGGAGCGTGCACACGCGTCCCTCACCCTCTCATCCTCATAATGATCCCCTCGTCCCCATCTCCCTCCTACTCCCTACCCCCCCTCCCCCACGTTCCTTCCCCCTTCCACGCTCCTCCTCGGGAGGGGGGTGAAAGAAAGAGGGGGCGAGGAGGAGGAGGAGGAGGAGGAGGAGGAGGAGGAGGAGGAGGAGGAGGAGGGGGAAGAGGAGAAGGAGGAACTGCGCAATGCCCCGCATCCTCGCGGACGGGCGCTCGCGCGCCCCGCTGCTTCATCACTGCCGACGCTCGGACACGCTGTGTCGCGCAATTCGTTGTTGCTGCTGTCTGCGAGTACTACTGGAAGCAATCGACGCCCCCACAGCTCCGCAAAGCGGCGCGCGTGGGGCCCAACATATCGAATAGACGCATGGAACAACGCATTAGAATAACGACGCAACTCGCCGAGCGGGCCGCAACGCCGGCCCAAGCAGCGGACATAACTCGAGCGCAGCCCTGTAGAAGCTGCCAAGCACGCGTACCACCCATGTGCCGAACCACGAGTTGCGCGATCCATTTGGTTTGCCCATGAATTGCGGCATCCATGAGTTGCGACACTCGTTACTTGCACCATTACTATGACATGCGCGATCCACGGGTTGTGTCGTCCACGGGACCCGCCATGAGTTGCGCCGCCCCATGGGTTGCGCCATGGTTCATCCACGGATTGCGCCATACGTTGCGCTTTCGACGGCCGAGGGTGAAGAAACTTTCTGCGTGCCGCACTATGATTTGCGCACTCGAAGGACGATGCGAAAGTGGCTTACTGTTGGTTGCGATTTGGGCCGCACCCTCGGCGGCCGAGGAAAGAACTGCCTTGTACTGATTGCGCACTCGACATGCGTACCCTGCCTGCGATGCGACGAAAATTGCGCGTTCCGCGGCCTGCGATTGGCTGCGCCAATGATTGTGCACTTGGCGGCAAACTATAGCATGGCATCGCTTCACCAGCTTGCCCCCGTTATCCTTCACAACCTTGAGCATGTTGTCTTTGATGGCAAGTTCACGTGCCAGTTCCGCCCGTCCAATGGAACTGTCTTGGAACCCAGGCAGCGCCATGGCGACGCCCCCCAGATCGACCTGGGCACCAAAGGATACCGCAGCAAGTGTACACTTGAAAGATCCCGCCGAGCCCAATGACGAAGCGAGTCCCATAAGTGCTCTGTCCTGGTCAGGCGAGAGCATCAAGGAACATACCATTTAAAGCGCAGGTCCGAAACAGGCCATGGGTATAGTCAAGGGGGAGTGATCCTCGAAGCATCCCAAGCGAGCCTTACTCGCCTCTGCAGTGTTTCATGATCTACGACGTCCTCGCCCAAAAGTTTGCAATCAACGATCCTTATGCGGCCGTCCCCTGAACGATCGACAGCAAAATGGGATATCTGTCGCACCGTCGTTGGCGTTGCTTCTGGCATGGTGCAATTTCTCGAGCCCAAATGGCCGCGGCTGGCGTCGTCAGTGCATGTATGCTCGGCAGCTTTGGTGGTGAATCCCTGTTTTGTTTTGTTCGATGTTTTGGTGATGCAGCCCTGGTTTGGATGTTAATCCTTTCGGTTCCGGATGAGAAGAATCCACTCGGAATGCCGCCGTCGTTGTTGTTGCTGGTGTTATTGTGGTTGTGTTGTTTAAGCGTCGTCCTAAATCATCATGGCTGGATCCCCACAACCAAACGCTTTACAGAACAGCCCCTACCCGCACGGGCTGCGCCCGTGAACCAGGAAACCACCATACCAGAATCCAGTGCAACGTACTTGGGAACCCACCGTGTCCCGACCAGACCCCCGCCCCGAACCAGCATCAAAGCCTGACTGCATCACTGGTGGCTAAGACCCGAAGTTTCTGCTAGTCTGCGGCATACGCGCAGGCGCCGAAGTACGAGACGTTCCGCCGCTCCGCCTACTCACTGTCCGAGGGAGAGTTTTCAGTATCGATGTGGCCGAAGCGACTGGCAGCTGGGCGACGGAGCATAGGCTGAGCAGGAAGGTGAACAAGCTGCGGCATGGGCTGTGCATTGCGAAGCTCTTCCTCGGCCGTCAACACTGCCTATGGTTTCTGCTTCAGCTCCTTCACGCGATGCTGGAGCCTTAATTCGTAATATTGGCGGTTCTGCTTCTGAATCTGCACACGACACGTCTCAGTCAAGAGCTTCAAGGGGAAGCTGCGGATAGTGTTGGACTGCTGCTTCTTGACACGGCGTGCCTCTTTGAGCTTCAGCTTGAAGTGGTCCGCCGTCTTGGCGGGCGTGGGCATATCTGCAAGGGCGGGACGGGGCAAAGGAGCAATCACAGACTCGCCCCGCGGAAGCTTCGAACGATCGAGCTCCAAAACGACGAGTGACTGACAAACACGACAACAATCAAACGACCTATACCCGTGGCAATATAAGCATCAACTGTTGTGATAATGTGGCCGCGCTGTGATACGACGTATGAACTATTACGGGCTGTGAATGTTTAAGGCATTGTGACGGTATGATAACTATTATGTGGGCAAACGTGGTGGTATGATATGGTACGAGATGTTGATGTAATCGCATGGAATGGTGATGTCATGATATGGTATTGCGCAGATATGAATAGTTATCATTTGGGCGACCGTTATGGAGTGAGATGGTGTGATAATGTGATGTGCTGAAATGGAATGGTGATGGCGTGGTATGATGTTGCGTAATGGAAACAATAAGGCGCGACATCGGCGACGACGGTGAGTCAACGCGCAAGCATTTACAAATCTTGGTTAGCAAAAATTTCGGCTCTCGATTTTAGACATCCCCCTGATTGATTTTGAGACGCCACGCCCTCAACACTCAAGAATCACGCTCTCGCTCTCGACTTCCCCACACTTCGCTTGGGAATCGCACTATCTCTCGAAGCATTCTCGCGATCCATGCAGGACTGATGCCTCAGCGACCCGCCCGCTCGACCCAGCCGTCTGGGCCCGCCCGCCCAACCCGCCCGTTAGAGTCCGACCACTCGACCCGCCCGTCTGGTTTTGTCGCTTGTACTCCTGCTCCGGAACCCCTCTTGTCAATCTCGTTTGTGCGCCATCCCTCTCTCTCGCCCTTGTCTACCTCCCCTCCCATGTTTTAGGGGCTGCGTCAACTACACGTGGCCAGTTAGGAAGGTGTGCCCTCAAGGGGGGTACGATCGAAGACAATGGGTATCGAAAGTATGGGATATACAAACATGTATATACATTTGTAAACATATATATACATATATATATATATATATATATATATATATATATATATATGAAAACCACGCGCGCGCTTCGCGCGCGCAGGTTCTAGCTAGGCTTCACGGTCGAACTTTGAAGACCTCTATGTTGTGACCAATCCTTCTGGGAAGCCCAAGAACTACGCCAACGGCTCAAGTGACTTCCAAGACCTCCTGAGGCCATTGCGCAAAGACCTACGAATGGGCCAAGACATCATCGCCGTCGTATAGCTGTGTATGTTAGGATCCGCAAGAAGACCTTTCTGGACCCCCACAGGAATTTAATGATTTGGGCCTCTTGGGTCCCTCTGGGGAGTGCTCTGGGAGTACTCCTGGGCCGTATTGGGCAGCTCGGGAACTTCTTGCGCCGTCGTTGGGGCCTCTTGGAACCCTCTTGGATGGTTTGGCACCCTCTTACCCCCTCCGGGCCGCCTCTGGGGAGCGAAACGGGGGGGGTATCAGCGGGCTTCCCCCGATGGTTGCGGAGTGGGCTGGCCCGGGCTGGGGGGGGGCTATTCATTTATATGATGTGTACATGGGGCTGTCCTAGACCGTCTTGAAGCGTTCTTGGGCGCCTTTTCGGGCCTCTTGGGGGCTCTTTTAACATATAGATGTTTTACGAAAGGAATGGGGCCATTTTTGTCTCCGGGGACTTTCTTGGAGGGCCTCTTGGAGCCTTCTTGGGGC